ACTACAATAATTTCATATAACTTTGCTGATATGTTTGAGAGAGAGTTAAGGTAAGTCCCCCACCAAGGTTAAACCTCAGAACTTCCATATAGCATTGATCTCGAGTATTGATAGCTATAATGACTTTTAAGTAGTAAACATTTATGGGGGAGAAGATAATTTTAGTTTCAAACGAGTTCTACATAATCACCTTTGTGTAGATAAACAAATGTTCTAGATCTTCCACTAAATAACCCCACAACATTAAAATAACTTCACCGTCGAAAGTGGTGTTTTTGTAATTATATACCTTTTTTTCCAATAGATGTGCTAGGATCATGATTACCCACCATTTTTGTAAGTTTGCAAATCAAATTGATTAATAAGAGGTTATTAGAAAATTTTTTAAATACTGAAACATAGCATGCGCACAGAAGCCTAACAATTATCTAAAAGGGGAAAATATAAGTAATTTTTCCAAACTCCAAAGTAAGAAAAATCAATAACAGTAAAAAAAACTTTTGCATATGTTAAACCCATCCCTTCATTTCGTATTTTTGTCATAAGCAGTAGTGCAAATGAGCACCCAAACTTTTTAGAAGATACATTCAAGGAGGAGCAACTTTAGCATGCATTAGCTTATAATATTTCAGCATTTTAGCTATTTACCTTCAACGCAAGCAGCTCCAACATCATCCAAGTCTCTTCTTGAATCGAACTTCAAATCAGAACCAACAGAAATCCATCTGTATAAAATCATCATAGAGAGAACAAGAAAGAAATATGTTAGTGTACGTGAAATAAATTACAATATATCCAGCATACAGTAAAAACTATCTTGGAAGCAAACTGCGTGTCTACACATGCTGCAACCTAAAACTTACACTGCTTTTCTCCTTGCATGGTGCCAATTCTCCCATATTAACCCTGCAATTGTTCGACCTTTACCAACACCTGCTCCATCTCCAACAAAGAATCCTGCCCTAGCACCACTTGGCAGGTGCTGCAGATGTCTCTGTGAAGAGATCAAAATGAGGTTACAACAGATACAACAGATTTACAATTGTTAACCATATTTCTGTCATAAAAGATACCTGACAAGCATAGACCAATGTCTCAATCTGCAAACAGGACAAGGCATTTGAACTTTCCAAATCATCCTTGATTCTTAGATCATATGAGGGCTCAGGTGGCTGCACTGCAGATAAAGAAGATGTCTCCACAACAGGATCCGGGTGAGGCGGGCCGATACAGTTTTGGAGGGCGCTGCCACATAAATTTCGTATGAGTTAACAATTCCAGAGGGTTCAAATGAAAAGTCATGAAAATAAATAAATTAAATGGAAAGATGATAATAGAAAACTTGTGAAATGCAGTCCTCTAAAATGAAACTTACATAGTCGGTAAAAGTTTCTCCTACTGACCCACCTTCATCTTCTTCTCGCTCCACTTCAATTGCTACCTGAAAAGTTTCAATAACATATGGAAAACAGAGAGCAGAGAATAAGAACAGAAAATCTTCTCACGAGTACAATACATACTAACAGAAGAACCACTAGAAGAGGAAAGTACTACAGTTTCCTTTTAGTCTGAAGATATGGGATGGTAAAGAAGGTTGGCATATCCATTTGTAAAAGCTGAAGGAAATGGTTTGGGCATGGATGCTCCAATCCCACAATGGAGACCAACTAAAAGCTGATCTCCTGGCATTGAAAAAGACATGGTAATCTACTATGATATCCAATTCGTTCTACATAGTTTCTTTCAATCAAGATAATTTTTTTAAAACACTTTATAGTTCTTTTATCTTCATGAAGGAGTTCTCTTCCTATGTTAACATCATTTCTATCAATTATTTAGTCTTACTAAAAGTAGATGCCCTCAATATACTTTACCCTATTGGGATTGGACTAAAAACAGGGAAAAGGAAAAGGAAAGGAAAGTAGAGGAAAGTAAGTACCTTTCCCTTATTTGGATAAACATTTTTTTATTAAGAAAGGGAAAGTAATGGACATCAAATATCCCTTGGTTTCCCTTTAAACACTCCATTTTTACATACCCCAAACTTATGGCCAACAGATACGAAAGAATATTGACATCCCCTCATCTTCATTGACTCCAAAACCCCTACTCATCCATGCTATGAGTAGGATGCCAATACCATTATTTCTAGTAGGCATTTGGATGACATGGAACTGCTCATGCTTACCAATTTGCATTAATGCGACAATTAGAACCTAAAAGCACTGTGTATGACAATTTGTTCAAGACCAATCTCCTATAAATGGAAAGAATTTTTGGTTTTTATGTTATGAATACTCGTCACTATGTATCCTAAGAATATAAGACAATGTATTCCTAACAGAAACAATTATTTAATTCTCTAAACTAAAAATTCAGCCAATGAATTGCTCACATCGAGGGGTATATTTCATGAAAGCTTCACTAACTTGGTCATGTTTTCACATGTCAAATTATAATTAACAGCACTAGTTGCAAAAATATCAACATAGTCATTATAATTCAGACCTCACATACTTACAATAGCTAGAACATTCCTCTATGGCACAGTAAAAGTTAGCATTTGATAACATATATAAACTGTAAGTACATAACCACAAAGAAAGGGGAAAAATAGCAGTCAAACAATTATTACATTAACAAACACGATTAATTGTCATAGATCACTAAGTTTCTGTCTTTTCTTTTCTTTTCTGTTTAGATTTCGCTTCCTGAAAACAATTTGATAAAAAGCACAAGTAAATACTAAAAAGCAATGTTGTAACTTGTAACTAAATTAAAAACGATGAATTGACCAACTTGCTATACTAATTCTAATATAATTGTTCTAAACAAGAGTATGACCATATAGTTCAAAACAGAAAATCACATTTCACTTTTTTAAATACTCAAAAGTGCCATTCATTTTGCATTGGAAGCACTGTGAGACTTCTATTTCCACGAGCTAAAATAAAGAAGCAAAAGTAGCAATCAAACTCAACTTAGCTTGTATAATTCAATAAGCAACCGTGAACAATTGTGTTAAAACAACATTTTAAAATTATAAATAAATAAAATAAAACCTCGTTGACTTCCTCAGGAGGAAGAGGTGGACGGGGCAGCGGAGGCGGAAATAGTTGTTTCATCTTGTTCAAATCGACAGCCAAGTCGACTCCACACTGAGGGCAAGAAAACCTAGCCAGTCCATACGGCACGTTGAGGATAGCCTTGCAATTAGCGCATGGGAGCTGGATCTTGGTCGGATCGATTCCATGTGCCGGCACCGATGACTGATTAGGCGGCGGATTGTTAATGCGAGCCCTAGTCATGAGCTCCGGCGGTAGCATTTGGGGCAGCTGGCAAGTGGGACAAACGAATTCGGTGACGCCAGGGCCCACAGTGAGGATCATTCGACATCCGGCGCAGCGCACCTGGACACCCGGAACGGCTGAGCGGCGGAGGCCGGGGCTGGTTGTTGAACGAGAGGCGGTGGAGGGATTGAAGGTTGGGGCATGATGATGTGTTGGAGAATTGTTTGATGGAACGAGAGATATAAAGTGATTGAGAGTTTGGGTTTTGAGAGAGAAAATTGAAATTAGGGCGCCAACAGCCAACAACAGCCGAAGAGCCCAGCTACTTCACTCGAACCAACCCGACTAGGGATTGGAGTTTTTGGGAATTTTCTGTTTTAAGTAGCTTTTATTTTTTGATGAATTTTAATTTTAATTTCACTTAAAAACTCAACTTCAAAGCCTCGTCGAGCCGTCGTCTCGCCGCTTCCAATTTTATTGGGTTACATTGGCTCTTAGGCGCGTCATACACTTCGTTTACAATGCCCGCCAGTCATAGACAGTTCCGATATTTGGACAATAACCATAGCTTTACCGCGTTATTATTATATTTAATTAATAATATGTTTCATGTACGCATTTTTTTATTGATCCAGATAATTATAATACGATCTATTAGGATCATCTATATACTTTTTTATAAGTGAATTTTAATACTATTATACATTTATTTAATATTAAAGTTTAGAGTTGTCAATTTTTGGTTTAAAATTTCTTAAGGGGTTAAAATTTAATATTAAAGATTATAATCTTAAATAAACACATCATTATTAAAATTTTTGTTTTTGAAAGAAACACCGTCAATACATAAAATAATCTTTTAATTAATAGATCAATTTAATTTAATTTTATTAATTTTTTTTTTTACTTATGATATTTGAATGTGTTGTTTAGATTGAAAATCAGTTTATATTATTTTATCAATAATTTTTAATGTATTAATTATTATTGTATATTGTGTATGACTTATTTATAAATTAAGTATTATTATGAATAGTGATTAATGAAAATCAAGTAGATATTAAACAATAATAGTGAGAAAAAACAATAAATAAAAACTATTATTTAAGTTGTAGAATTTTGAGGGCTCAAATTTGAGTCTCACAATGTGTATATACCATTTATGAATTTTGTCTGTAAGTTTAGCATTATATTAATATGTTTCCAACTTGTTTGGTATAATAGATATTTATATTTTTGGATATAATTAGATATTTAATTTTAAAATGCTGTTGATATCGTGGAAAACAGTAGTGGCCAATTCCATGTGTTAGTTATCGTTGCAGATGGCCAGGCCCTCTATCTCATGCCTGTTTTTTCTCCTGTATGAGCAATTTTGCCTTTATTTTTCATTCTCCCTCACTCGCACTCAATGTATCTCCGAATTCGTTTTCTTTTGGTGTCGATGATGGTCACACAAAGTATCAATACAAGTGACAGAGATCTGAGTCCACAAGAAGAGACCATCGGTACAACTGTTAATGCAAGGTAGGATAAACGGTGCAAACTTCTATCCCTGCAAATGCTAGACCATAAGAATACAAACAATTAAGGCGTAGTCAATAATTATTGCTTGTTGAAGAAGGCATAGATTCAATTGTGTGAAACAAGAGGATTTGTTTTTTGTTTTTGTTTTCATTCACGCATTCCAGCTTATACCCACTGTCGATTGTTTTGGTTGGTGTTGGTGATGGTGATGGACCTTGGGATAATATGAAGAAATTCGATGATATGATTCCGTCGCGTGACGTCGACAACTTCCAGGTTTCAATCGTGCTAGAGGCAAAACTTGTCTGATAATCCATCAAACTAATTTATCTGATGACATCCGAGTTGGTTTTTATCTCTAATATTTATGTGCAGTTTGTTAACTTCACTGGGATTATGACAAAGAAATCAAGTCAAAAGAGAAGGAAACTGCCTTTGCTCTTGCTGCTCTCATGGAGATCCCTTACAGTACACAGCATACATGGAACTTGGCATTCTTGGGTGAGTTAATCTTCGGTAATCAACTTAGTTCATTCTCATATTTGTAGTCACGCATTAATTACTTTATGAATTTGCATTGAACAAATCAAGACAACGGACCGGAAAAGCGAAGAAAGTAGTTCCACGGCCTCCTCCGGTTTCCTACCGTAGACCTGCTCTGCCTGAACGCTACCAAGCAATGCCTCGGCATCACCGGCGATTGCATCAGATGATCAGCAGGTATGTGTGTATTTATGTAAGTATGATCAAATGAAATGTGCATGCTTTCCTCGTTACTAATTTTGTTTGCCATTGCAATATAAATGTAGTCTGTATGCCCAATATGCCTTACGAATACAAAGGACTTGGCCTTTAATTGTGGGCATATGGTGAGTAATTCTTTTATAAAAAATGTTCTTTTTTTTAATTGAAAGAGTTAAAATAATTAAAAATGTATTATGATATCATACTTGCAGGTAATGTGGGCAGAGAGTGTCTAATTGTCCAATCTGCTGCCAAGGATTACTAATCGCCTTAGGCTGTTCACTTAATCCCCATATTACAATCTTTCAAGGGTTGATTTCAGAGTCGTCTTCTGTTGAGTTTGGTAATTTCTTTGCCCTCGTACAATTTCAGAATGTTAATTTCTACAAAATTATTAATATAAATGTATGTATATTAGTAGTTTGTTTTCAATAATCGATAGTAATTACTTTGATTTCTTCTTGATTCTTGAAAACTCTAATTGTTTTCCTAATTTTGCAGTTGGTTAACCACAATAAATCATAATTATTATTGATGGGATTGGTTTTAATTTATTTATTCGTTTAAATTGAGTTGATTATTTAATTTAATTATTATAATGATTAATCTTGTTTGAAATTGTTGATATATTATACCTTTAACTTATTTTTGTATTATATTTAGTATTGGACTTAAAAGAGAAAAAATTATTGAAGATTCGTTAATTTCATTTTCAATTTTACTATATATAAACATAGTAAGTATATAGACATAGACCCTAAAAGTTGAAAGTTCATAAAGCTCCCTTTAAATCTTTTTAAAAATCTACTTATAATAGAATTCGTTAAGCGGTCTCTTTGGTAAAAGAAAATATTATTTTCTTTAGAGATTTCGAGTTCGAACACTTATGTTTATTTGTCATTTGACAAATAAATTTTAAATATACTACCTTATAATCATCTCATACTAATAAAAAATAATCTACATATAATAATTGATATTTTCATCAAATATTTTAATATTGTGTGAGTGTAGTGCAATGTATATTTATTTTATCGAGGTTTATTTAAAAATAAAAATTTAATTATAAAATTTGTAGTGCTTAATTTTTTCTAATTAAAGTAAGTAATTTTTTTCATTTCGTAACCATTTTATTGATGGGTTCCTCAAGTTCTATATTTTTTTTTACCTAATTCACCGTTAAAAGTGAAATCAAATTGTTTTGAAAGTAAATTTTTAGAATTGAAGTTTTTATTTCACAATCAAAGTGTTATTGAATATATTTTTTTGGAATTGGGTTTTGATTCCGCAAAGATAAAAAATGAAAAGATATGAGTCAAAATTGATGTACTAGAAAAACATAAATTTTCAAGATCAAATGTAGGGGACTTGAGATTGTTCTATTTTTCAATAACAAATCATTTTTTATCTGAAAAATAAAGGGACAAGAAGAAGTTAAACAGATATCACACATCGTATATTCATTGGACTTTCTTTTATAAAGGGACTTGAGATTGAAAAATAGTTAATGGAATAAACGTTAGATTTGACAAAAAAAAATACAAATTATTATTCATTATTTATTTATGAAGGATAACTGTTGGGAAATAACGAGTAACAAGTAATTTTCCTATAACCAGATGAGAATGTGAATATAAGCGGAAAAATAATACCCGAATTTGATAACGGAGTTTAGCCAATTGTGCCTACGTCTCCGGACTGCTGCAGATCTTTTACTAAGAGAAAATTTACAGGTGTTTACAAAACACTCACTACTCACAAGAAAATTCTCTAGTAATAGGAGAAAGAAAATGATTTTTGGGATTTTGGATGATTTTGAAGCTAAATGAACTAGAGTATTTATAGTTGAAGCTTAGGGACTAATCTTGTAATTACCCTAAAAATACAATGGCTAAATGTATGATTTATCCATTACCATTTTCAACAATGTTGGCTGCCCACTTTGAATTTAAATTGTCGTCCAATTTGAAGAAATTCAGCTGGCCATCTAGAAAGCCAACAACATGTCAACTTTCAACAATCTCCCACTTGAAGATTGATTTTAATCTGTCTTCACACTCGATCAATGCAACAGCTTTTCAAGTCTTGTTACTCTAGCATGCCAACTGAAGTTGAACACAACTTCAGTTTTTCCGTGGTCACCGTCTTTGTCAACATGTCTGCCGGATTTTGAGCTCCACTGATCTTTTCAAGTTTCAAAATTCTATCTTCTAGAAGAGATCGGATAAAATGATATTGTAATTGTATGTGTTTCGTCCTGGAATGAAAAGGCGGATTCTTCGCTAGATATATAGCACTTTGACTGTCGCAATACAAAACATTGTTCTCTTGTTTCTTGCGTAACTTCCAAGAAACTTTGGAACTAGACTATCTCCTTGCTGGCTTCTGTAACAGCGATATATTCTGTTTCAGTTGTGGAGAGAGCAACTATCTTCTGTAGTTGAGAAACTCAACTCACTGCAATACCTCCTAGAGTATAGACATACCAGTAATGCTCCTTCTGATATTAACATTTTCGGCTAAGTCAACATATATAGTCTGTCAGTATCGTATCTCTACCTTTGAAACAAAATGATTTGTTTGTAGTACCCCAGATATCTGAGGATCCATTTGACTGCTTCCCAGTGTACCTTGCCGGATTATTCATGTACCTACTAACAGCTCCTATTGCATGAGCAATATCTGGTCTAGTACAAACCATGGCATACATCAGACTTCCAATTGCTGAGGCATACGACACCTTCACCATGTGTGCACGTTTTCCTCCGTCTTTGGGACTGTTCTTTGGAGAGTCTAAGATGAACACCTAAAGGTGTACTTACTGGTTAGCATCTTGCATGTTAAACCTGGATAGTACTTTGTTGATATACTCAACCTGTGATAACATCAAAGTCCCCCTTTGTGTCTCTCTTAATCATTATCCAAGAATCTGCTTTGCAGTGCCCAGATCTTTCATTGCAAACTGTTTCGACAATTTTGCTTCAAGTTTATAATCTCTTGCATGTTTGACCCTGCACGAGCATGTCATCAACGTACAATAATAAAATAATGAAGTTGTTGTCGAACCTCTTGATGTAGCAACAATGATCTGCTTGGCAACTAGTAAAACCATGCTATTCATGAAACTATCGAACTTTTTGTACCACTGTCTAGGAGCTTGTTTTAAACCATACAACTCTTCTTCAACTTGCATACCAGATTTTTCTTGTATGCTCTATGAAGCTTTTGGCTGCCTCATATAGATTTCTTCCTCCAAATCACCATGAAGGAAAGTTGTCTTTACATCTAACTGCTCAATATGTAAATTCTCTGCAACTATAATTTTCAACACCAGTCTGATTGTAGACAATTTTACGACTGGAGAGAAAATTTCATTGTAGTCAATACATTCTTTTTGTTGAAAACCTTTGAGAACCAATCTTGCTTTGTAGAGTTTGCTCCCATCATGCTCTTCTTTGATCCTGTAAATCCACTTGTTGTGGAGCACTTTCTTGTCTAGTGGTAATTCAGCTAATTCCCACGTCTGATTTGACATAAGCGAGTCCATCTCATCTTTCATGGAAGGCTTCCACTTGACTGAATCCTCAACTTGCATTGCTTCATCATAGCATTCTGGTTCACCATTGTCAGTCAGCAACAAGTAGTGCAAGAATGAGAATATCGTTGGGTTGGTTTAGGAATTATGGAGGAGCGTCTTAGTTCTGGTGTGCCTGGCTCTTTTTGAACTGCTTCAGGATTGATTTAAACATCATTTCTAGAAATCTCCTCAAACTCAGCAATTCCTTTGTTTCAGCTTTAGTATTGGAGCTACTTGATTATATGGTTGCTATGTCTTTGTACATCACATTCTCATTGAAAATGACATCTTTGCTTCTGATGATCTTCCGATTTTCATAGTCCCAAAATCGGTAACCAAACTCATCACCACCATAACCAACAAGACACATTTGTTGGACTTGGCATCAAGTTTACTTATTTCAGCAGAATCTATGTGTACATAAGAAATACAACCAAACACTCTTAAGTGTGAAAGGTTTATTTCTTTCTTGCTCCAACTTTCTATGTATTATGCCATCTAAAGGAACTGAGGGGCCACGGTTGATCAAGTAAGTGCATTGTTGATAACTTCATCCCATAGAAATTTGGGTAATCCGACATGTATCCTCATGCTTCTGACACGTTCATTTAGAGTTCTGTTCATGCGCTCTGCTAATGTCTTTGTACATCACATTCTCATTGAAAATGACATCTTTGCTTCTGATGATCTTCCGATTTTTATAGTCCCAAAATCGGTAACCAAACTCATCACCACCATAACCAACAAAGACACATTTGTTGGACTTGGCATCAAGTTTACTTATTTCAGCAGAATCTATGTGTACATAAGAAATACAACCAACACTCTTAAGTGTGAAAGGTTTATTTCTTTCTTGCTCTAAACTTCCTATGTATTCTGCCATCTAAAGGAACTGAGGGGCCACGGTTGATCAAGTAAGCTGCATTGTTGATAACTTCATCCCATAGAAATTTGGGTAATCCGACATGTATCCTCATGCTTCTGACACGTTCATTTAGAGTTATGTTCATGCGCTCTGCTACGCCATTCTGCTACGGTGTCATGAGAACTATTGTCTCCATCTTGATCCCATTGTTTGCGCAGAAATCTCTGAATCTATGATTTCTGTACTCTCTTCCATTGTCAGACCTCAACCGCTTGACTTTCAGACCAGCCTCATTTTCCACCATGGCCTTCCATTTCTAAATGTATCAAAGACTTCTGATTTTTCTTCAGAAAATAAAAGACTTCTGATTTTTTCTTCAGAAAATAAACCCACACCTTCCTTGTAGAATCATCGATGAACGTGACATAATATAATGAGCCATAGGTTTGATTTTCCATCAGCATCTGCTGCAGCAATGATATTCTCTAAGTTTGAGGTTACATAGAGAGTACCAGTCTTCTTACCATGAGCAATGACGAGTGCTCCTTTGTAATCTTCCATTCACAGTCTGAAAAAGTTGTACTATAACCTTCTCCATCAAGCTATCATGCAGAAATCAGATTTTTTTTAGGCCATGAATATGTCTCACTCCTTTCAGCGTCCAGGTGGTCTGGTTTGGAAACT